CTTTGCTGACACTCGCATGCTTTCTTATAAAAAGCAACTTGGGTGCAGACCTGCCTGGCTTAAGTCAGTGGAATGCCACATTCCTCAGCAAACAACTGTTATCTGCAGGAGAAATGTAAGGGTTCAAAGGCCTCTCCCTGCCAATTAGAACAGTTTACCCTGAAGGGGGACACTTTAGTGACCCTTACACAGACCAGATTCCAGAACTCAGGAGATAAGGATAATGCCCCCTAACAATAAAATCTGAGAACAGGTTCCATTTAGAACAGTAGAGTTGCCTTGGATCCATGCATGTCCCCTCTGCAGGGGTAAGTGTGATGCCATCTTGCTGTCAGTCACAAGCCCAGAGATGGACCTGGGTGGGTCTCTCTTGAAACTTCCCTGGGACCCACAAGCAAGAGAGGCACAGTCCTCTCTCCTCTCTGAGAGGACCCATTTTCTCTCTTGAGAGTGTCTCCTTTTCTCCTTCTATTCTAATATATCATGTCTGTTAGTCTGAGAAAAATGCCTAAAATCTTTTTAGCACAATTGTTTTTTTTAAAAAAAAAAAAGTAACCCAGGATCTCCGTGGCTGCATCCTTGGGAAGCCCTAGTTCTGTAACAGACTTACTGGAAAGAATTTCTACTATTTCTCATACAGAAGTATCTGACACCAAACCTATCTTCCTGCATAAGCAAATAGAGAAGCAAAAATATATATCAAATAACATACAGAGAAGAATCATGATCAGTGAGACAAAGAAAACCATCTAGATGAGCCCCTGATCATCTATGCATTCTGTCTAGAGGTCACTTCCAAGTTATCACACAGTTGGCCTCACTGACTTAAAGCAAGACAAGAATTGGGAGAGGCCAAGGTGGCAAGGACTTGCAGGGCAAAATACTACAGAACCATATAGAAAGGAGCTCTAGAAATCTGTAAAGTTATACCGGAGTCACTGGCAATCCAATTTTAGACCTGTACTAGTTTTTGCAAAAAAGCAGCACCATTTTTTTTATTCAATGTTTTTGTAGGCCCAACAAACTTCTGCAATCTATTTATTGAAAAATACATAACCCAGAATGCCATAAATCAAGTGAGGCTTAGGTGCAAATTTACATTATAATATTGATTTAAAATTCATTTGCTATCATCTTAACAAGTCTTATTTTCTCCCATACTAGTAAATTACTATTTACTTTGTTAGAGAAGTAAAAAATTTGGAGTCAAATCTGTCACAACCCATACCTAATAGATAGCCCAAAATGAAAGTTGATTCTGGCCCTCAAATATTCCCAAATCTTTTCACTTTGAACTTCTTTACTGCATCCACTGCATCTAGGTCAATATGCCATCAGCCATTAGCTGATGTACTAGTTAGGACTAAGAGTAGAAGGCATATGACAACAGACCCATCTGCTCCTGCCACGAAAAGACCAAAACAACTAAACAAGAGTGGATTAAGCAAGTTGGAAGCTTATTGCTCTTTCACAAATATGAGACTTATTTAAATAAGGCACGAGTTTGTTTTCCTTCATACTACAGAGCCAGGTTGCTGACTCCTAAAACACTGTTGCTTTTTACTGCAACAGACTTCAAGCTGGTAAGGAACAGGTGGATGGGATTTCGAGTGGTGATTGCCAAGTGTTACTAAACTCTTTTGTGAACCTTGTACTATCCATAGGGTAAATTATTATTCAGCCCATTTCTATTATGTTTACGCTATAGATGTTTGAATGGTTAATAAATCATACACACTCACACATAATCCTTTATAAAAATATAGAGAGAGGAAATATTACTCTGCACCATATGCAGAGTGTTTGGCACTAAGAAGACAGCAATGAAGAGATCAGGCAAAATCCCTTATTTGTTATAGAGAGGACAGTCAATAAACAAGTTCTCCAAGATAAAGAGTATGAAGAAGAAAACCAGAATGCTAAGATGGAGAGTAACTAAGGAAGCTAGCTTAGATAGGAAAATCAAGGAAGGTTTCTTTGAAGAGGCAATATTTGAGCTCAAGGTTGGAGTGACAAACAGAATAAGAAGCAGAAACTGAGTTTGTGAATGAGTAAAAAAAAAAGGCAAATTAAAAATATCAAGGAGTACAAAGGAACAAGGAGGCTAAGGAGAGAAGTGAAGACACTGGGAAGAGAAGAAATGAGTGATTTCGGTTTTAGTCCCTTGATTCAGAGGCAGTAGGGAAATATGCAAGTGGAAATACACTAAAGGTGGCTGAAAATGCTGCTTGGCTTTGACTGTGAGATCAGAATAGGTATGTGTTTTGAGGCAAAAGAGAATGGATGGAGCATCCCATACTCATGGTTGGAAGAATTGTCCACAGTACCCAAAGTGATCTATATTCTAAATGCAATTCCTGTCAAAATACCAATGGAAATTTTCACAGAAATAGAAAAAAAGTTATATGGAACCACAAAAGACCTGTCCAAGCAATCTGAGAAAAACGAACAAAGCTGTGTCATTAGAATCTCTGACTTCAAAACATACTACAAAGTAATAGTAACTAAAACAGCATATAAAAACAGACACACAGACCAATGGGATGAATTCAATTCCTTGTATTTTCAGCCAACTGATTTTTAATAAAGGCAGCAAGAACATCCAAGGACAATCTCTTTTATAAATGGTTCTGGGAAAATTGAATATTTATCCGCAGAGGAAAGAAACTAGACCCTAACTCGTACTGTATATAAAAATCAACTTGAAATGGATCAGACTTAAATGTATGACCTGAAATTATTAAATGACTAGAAGCAAATAATAAGGGTCTAGTTAAGATTTTTTTTAATATGAACCCTAAAGCCTAGGCAACAAGTAAAATTAGACAAATGAAATTACATTAAAGTAAAAAACTTCTGTGCAGCAAAGGAAACAATTATCAGAAAAGACAATCTACAGAATGGGAGAAAATTATGTGCAAACTATTCATCCAATAATATATAAGGAATATATAAGGAACTTAAACAACTCAACAGCAAATACCAAACAATCCAATTTAATAATGGTGTACGACCTGAACAGATACTGCTGGAAAGAGGATATACCAATGGCCAACATGTATAGGAGAAAATGCTCAACATCCCTAATCTTCAAAATAATATCAAAAAGACATAAAAGAAATAAATAAAAGACAAATCTTGGCCAGGAAGTGGAGAAAGGAGAACCCTCATACACTGTTGGTAGGAATGTAAATTAGTGTGATCCTTATGGAAAACAGGATGGAGGTGCCTCAGAAAACTAATAGAATGAGCATGTGATCCAGTAATGCCACTGTTGGGGATAAATGTTGAAGAGACATCTGCACTTTCACATTTACAACAGCCAAGCTACGGAATCAATCTAGTGTCTATGGATGAGTGAATGGATAAAGAAAATGTGTTCTCTATACTCAGTGCACCATTATCAGCTATAGAAATAATAATAAAAAAAATTCTGTCATTGCAGCAACATGGATGGAATGAGGCAGTGTTGAGTAAAATAAGTCAGGCATGGAAGACAAATACCATGTTCTTATGTGAAAATTCAAAAAGTTGAACTCTTAAGAAGTAGAGGATAGAACAGTGATTAGCAGAACCTGGGAAAGGTTTGGGGGGAGGGAGGGATGCAGAGAAGCAGGTGTGGGTTCTGAGGGGCAGATGGAGGTATAACTTCTAATTCTGTTACAGTGTAGGATAACTATGGTTGATAATACTAATTGAATATCTCAAAGGAGTTGGTAGGGAGGACTGCATCTTCCAAATACAAAGAAATGTTATGCCTGAAGTGACAGACATACCAGTTACCCTGACCTGAGCACTACACGTTGTATACATGAATCGTCACACTGTAATGTGTAAATTACCCATAAATGTGTAATTCTTGTGAAACAAAAAATACATTTAAAATATGTACTAATAAGTATGAGATAGCAAGTGATATTTCCCTCAACATATTGCCTTCTACCTACTCCATCCCTTCTGCTTAGAGGTTACCTTTAACAATTAATTCCTTAGGATATTAAAACATTTAAAAATACAAGTGAGATTCTTCTGCCTACATTTATACAATTTATTCTGTTGTTGACATTTTTCCACGAGGGCATATGATTTTATTTTTTTTCAATAATTCCTTGTATAATATACCATAATTTTACGTTTCCTCCCACCACGTATTAGTGGAGATCACAATTATTTAATGAACCTGTATTTTGGAAGAAGCGCATTGTTTAGTTGGAGGAATAGCATGAACAAAACCAGAAAGGGGTCCTGCCCTTAGGAAGCCAGCAATCCTATAGGAGTGCTAAGTGAAGTAAGATAACTCGGATTGTGATTATAGCTATGTGGCCAATCAATCCAAGATGAGATTGGGGGAGGGGGTGCTGGTTTGTGCTGAGGCTTGATGAATAGACTGTTTTAAGAAAAACCAGAGAAGTAGCATCCCATATTATCGTAAACGATTTCAATATGAAGATTCAATATTCATTGATTCCTTGCTCTATACCACCAGCTGTTACAGTGTGAATATTTAAGGGTAAAAAAATTTTGGTCCTTGTTTTCTTCGCGCCTACATTTTAGAATAATTAAGCATAAAACCCCTCAAGGGTAACTGGAACATAGTAATTGCTCTATAAACTTAAATTTTTGTTGTTAAGGAATCATTTGCAATGTGGCAGATAAATTTACTCTATTCTTTAAGGTTCCTTATCCGTGTTTTTTTCCATATGAATATCTTCTATAATTGCCTGCCTACAGTCTGGGTCATCATCTCACGCTTTTCCGTGCCCTGATGATTTGTGGTTCTCGCAGGTGTTGCAGCTACAGCACCCAATTGTGTTACACGTGCGCATCTCTACACGACTGGCACCTTTAAACGTGCCCTTCTGAAAACTTTAGGAGATAATACTAGTGTATAAAAGTTGGGTTTGGGGTCCCTTCTTTGGGTCTTCACTCTCGCGGAGACGCCCTGCACCTGTAAGACCCGCGCGCTTCCGCCGTTGCTGCCCAGGCCCAGCCGCCTCCGGTGCAGGCCGGGCCTCCGCCGCCGGGAGGGGTGGCGGTGCGGGCTCTGGTGCGAGTGCAGGCGCCGGCTCGTCGGAGGTGAGTCTTGCCCGGCGCTGGAAAGGGCTGCACGGCCGGGGCCCTTTCTTCTGGGGAGACGGAGCGGCGCGCGGCAGGTGGTTTCTTCCAGGACGCGCCGGGCGCGGGGAGGAAAGGGTGGCGCGGGGCCGGAGGGCAGGCGCGGGCGGCCGCGTGAGATCAAAGCGAGCGCGGCCGCGGAGGAGGCGGGGAAGCTGCTTTGCTGGTGAGCGAGGAATACCTTGCTTCGCGTCCAGCAGGGACGGCCTCTGTGCCGAGGTGGGGCGTAGAGGGCTGCGCAGAAGCACGGAGCGAGTCTAGTGCGGAGCCGCGAAGGCGAAGCCGCGCGGGAGGCTCGGCGCTCCCGGAAGGAGGCTGCACGCCAGGCGCCTCAGCCGCGCGCCGAGCGGTCGATAGGAGCAGCGCTCCGAGGCTTGGGCTCCTCCCGCCATTGTGTAGGTGAGGCTGCCGCGGGAGGAGGGGGAGCAGTGGGGAGGGGGCGGCCGGCGGGTGATGCCGGGTTCCCGGATGGAGGCGGGAGGGGCGGTCCCCGAAGAGCACGGAGCGTACCCGCTTTGCCGTCTCCCCCACCCCTGCCCTGTTCCCGCCCTGCCCGCGCGCTCCCGCGATGCGCAGCCCCAGCTCTGCGCGGGTCAGACGGCAGCGAGCGGGGTGGGCGGTGGCGCTACGCTCCCCTAGCAGCCTGGGAGATTCTAACTTGCACTTTTGTGTTTTAATGCAGAGGCCAGTATTCCGCTATGGAGCATGCCTTTACCCCGCTGGAGCCCCTGCTTCCCGCTGGTACTGTACTGCTTCTCGCGCCCTTACACGGCGCTCCCATGCCCCTCCCGGAGAGAGGTTAAAGGGACTCCATGCCACCCTGAGCGGTTGCAGCCTCATGCTGCCCGATTCCTCGCACTGCATCCCAGGGCCTCAGTTTTCTCATCCTCCCTTGGGCCTCAGTTTCCTTATCTGAAAAAGGAGCATACATATGAGTCCTTATGAAGACTGAATGACTTGATAGGTTGTGTGTCCTCTACCTGTAGCCCAGTGAGTGCACCTGTACAGTTAGTTAACTGATAGACCTCTTACAGCAGCGGGATCACATCTGCAGCAGAGCAGAACATGCACGAGGGAAAGTCATTGTCACTGTCCACGGTGCATTTCTAATTCACTGGGAAGGTGCTGGAGCTTACCCAGCAACAGATTAAGACATTTCTTACGTAATCATTTATTAATCTGTTAAATTATTGCACTTCAGTGGAAGTGAGGATGGAATGAATGAATTTTATTGGTAGCATTCATTCTCATGTGTAGTGATTGATTTCTTTGTGATAATTTCGAAAGGTTAGATGTATATTTTTTTGCCAGTTAGTTTTTATTGTTTCCATCTTATAGAACTTCTAGTTTTTCAGTTTCATAAACAACATGGTCTTTTAATATTACATTACTTGACACCTGACTCTACCTTTATATCTTACTTTGCTGATGAAGGAAAACACTAAGTGATAGAATGAGAATCTGAACCAGTGTCTTTTTGCTTGGTTAAGAGGTGGGGTGTCTAATTATTGCTATAACAACTTTTGAAAAGTTAAGAAAGGCATCAACAAATAACGTTTGTGAATTAGATTCCATAGTGTCAGTTATCCAATAGTGGCAAGAACCAATGGCAGTACCAAAAATAAACATTTTATGCAGGTGGCCTGTTGGCCTTGAGATTGATACTAAAAGCTCAGAGCACTATTGTCTGAAGCTTGGTAATGTCTTCTGGGTTAGAAGAAAAACATCATAGAGATGGTGAGTGCTGCACAGGAAAGATTATATTCAGGAATGAGAATCTCCACGTTTAAATACAAGTTGGCCGCTAAGTAGTCCTGTACCTCATAGCTCAGTTTCTTCATCTGTCACATAGAAATGCATCATAGGGTTATTGTCCAAAGAGTAGGTACATGTTAAGCACTTCCCTTCTGTAGCTATAAGCTGTTACATGCAGCAGTAGGTCTAGAGGGAAAACAAAGGCTGTTGAATCTCAGGTCAGGGCTGAGATGGAAAACATTTGGAGTAACATGAGGACAGAGAGCTCTGCTTCTTTTTTAATCAGAGGCTTAGAGAAGGCCTTGACCCCTTAAGTTAGAACATTTGTAAGCTCCACATTTAGAGCTAGGCCTGTAGGGGTTCAAGATACCCAGTGTCAAGTTCAGATTCATGGAGACAGAACCCAGTGCTTCCTTGGGCTGTTTTCAGAGTTTTCTTCCTGTTCTTGCTTGTGAAATGATGTAGATTCCTGTCTCACCTCTAGCTTTGGCCTTGAAACAAAGGCCCCAGGCATATTGGTGTTGACTGTAGATATGTAGAAGATATTTTAAAACAGAACACTTACTGTGAGGGACCAGTGTCAAGCCTGGTCATGCTTTGGGGAAAAAATGAACACATACAGCATTCAAAGTAAAAAATATCTGAGGTTAACTTCATTAGAGGAATTCCTTTCATCAAGGAGACATTTAAAACTTATCTAGCAGAAAAGTTGTATTCATAAATTCTGTGAATTTGTTGGCATTGTTTTATCTGTAACTTACTTGTATCTAATATACTGGGCAATCCAACAATAAAGCTGATTCTCCAGAGTTTTGAAAAGTTGCCAGGAAAGATATTGTGGACAAATATAGTTTTGGGGGTTGATCACTATTTTAGAGAAAGGTGGTATTCTTAAAAGAACTTTTTTGTTTTGTGAACTACAGTGTGAATTTTTTCTGTATTCTGTTCTGGAAATAACCATTGTTACTCATTTCAAAGTGAATTCGTATTATAAATTGTTTTGTAAGTAACTATTTTGGGGGCAATAAGTTAAAATATGTGGGTATTTTTTACTTTGAATGCTGTATGTGTTCGTTTTTTCCCCAAATAAAATAGAATGGTTTCTAAAATAAAGAATCAGTTCTATTTACCAGAGATTATTAACCTAAAAACTTATATGAATGTCAGTGGTAGAGCATATACTTAACATGTATGAAGCCCTGGGTTAAGCCCTAGCACACACTCACATAAACTGTGTTTTAAACTGTGTGCATGTGTATGTAGATAATTAAAAGTTTGTAATAAGACCTAGTTTATGTCCTTTTCTACAACTTTTTCACTATTTTGTTGTGGTCCATATGTAAAATTTTCTCAAGATCTGTAGTTTTTTTAAACCACATATGCAATGTAGACTCAAATTAGCTAGCTAGTCTTTCTTAATAGACATTTATGTTATTTCTGGTCTTTACTGTTAAAAATCTACAATGCATATTTTTTAAACACTTTTATTGGTTTTTTTTTTTGTTGTTGTTATATAAATCATTAGGCTACATTTTGACCTAATCACAAAAGCATGGGATACGATTTGGTCTAATTCAGTCCCCAGCATTTCCTTCCTCCTCCTGCTCCTCTCCGTCTCCTCTGCTGATCTTTCTACAATTTATTTGTAGTGTTTTGTTTTTACATTAGTCTCTGGTGGATATCCTTGATACTGGGATTCTCTGTGCTATATTCCTGTGTGTACATTTGAAAGTTCAGTGAGATCATTCCACCATTCTTTTCTTTTCCTGTCCTTCCTTCCTCCTCTTCAATCTCCTTCATCTACTCTAATGTTCTTTCCTCTATTTTGATGAAATTCCCTGTCACATTTTTTTCTTTCTTTTCCCCTTCCCCTTCCACTTTATTTTGGATCGGTTTCCACATATCAGAGAAAACATTCATCCTTCGGTTTTGTGGGACTGGCTTATTTCACTTAACATGATAATCTCCAGATTCATCCATTTACTGGCAAATGCCGTAATGCCATTCTTATTTATGGCTGAGTAATACTCCATTGTGTACACACACCACATTTTCTTTATCCATTCATCTGTTGAAGGGCACCTAGGTTGTTTCCATGCTTTGGCTCTTGTGAATTGTGCTGCTATAAACATTGATGTGCCTTCATCACTATACTATGCTGATTTTAAGTCCTTTGGATATTTACTGGGACAGAGGGTTATATGGTGGTTCCATTCCTAGTTTTTTTTTTTTTTTTTAATTTTTTTAGTTGTAGATGGACACAATACCTTTTTAAAATTTTTTATGTGGTGCTGGGGATTGAACCAGGTGCCTTCCACATGTAAGTCGAGCACTCTACCACTGAGCTACAACCTCAGCCCCTCCCTAGTTTTTTGAGGAATCTCCATACTGCTTTTCAGAGTGGTTGTCATAATTTGCAGTCTCACCAACAGTGTATGAGTGTACCTTTTCCCCCACGTCCTCATGAACGCTTATCATTATTTATACTCTTGATAATTGCCATTCTGACTGGAGTGAAATGAAATCTCAATGTCGTTTTGATTTGCATTTCTCTAATTGCTAGAGATGTTGAACATTTTTTAAAATATTTAACCATTTATATTTTCTTTTTTTTTGGTACCGAGGGTTGATCTCGGGGGCACTTGACCACTGATTCACATCCCTACTCCTATTTATGTAGAGACAGGGTCTCACTGAGTTGATTAGCGCCTCCCTTTTGCTGAGGCTGGCTTTGAACTCATGATCTTCCTGCCTCAGCCTCCCGAGCCACTGGGATTACAAGCATGTGTCACCATGCCTGGCTGTATTGAGGAGGGTCTGTTTAGTTCTTTTTTCCGTTTATTGATTAGGTTGTTATTATTTTTTTGGTGTTAAGTTTTTTGAGTTCTTTGTATATCTGAATATCAATGCCCTAACTGAGGAGCAGGTGAGAAAGGTCTTTTGCCCTTCTATAGGCTCTCTTCATGCCTTTGTTTCCTTTGCTGTGAAGAAGCTTTTTGATTTGATGCCATCCCATTTATTTATTTATTTTTAATTTTATTTCTTGTGCTTTAGACGTTGTGTTAAGGAAGTTGGTTCCTGTGTTGACATGCTTGGAGGGTTGGCTCTGCATTTTCTTCTAGCACTTGGAGAGTTTCTGGTCTTATTCTCAGGTCTTTGATCCACTTGGAGTTGATTTTTGTGCAGATAGGGATCATTTCATTCCTCTGTTATGGATTTCCAGTTTTCTCAGCACCATTTGTTCAAAAGTCTATCTTATTCCAATGTATGTTTTGGTCACCTTTGTCTAGTATAAGATAAGTGTATCTATGTGGCTTGTCTCTGTGACTTCTATTATATTCCATTGGTCTTCATATCTGTTTGGGGGCCGGTAGGATGCACTTTGTTACTCTAGTTCTGTAGTACACTTTGAGGCACAGCATTGTGATGCCTCCAGCTTGCTAAGAATTGCTTAGGCTATTCTGGATCTCTTATTTTCCCACATGAATGTAGCGTTACTTTTCCTAGTTCTGTGAAGAATATCATTGGTGTTTGGATGGGGATTGTGTTGAATCTGTATAGCACTTTTGGTGGTATGGCCATCTTGACAATATTAATTGTGCCTATCCAGCAATATGGGAGGTCTTTCTATCTTCCAAGGTCATCTTCAATTTTTCTTTAGTGTTCTATAGTTTTTATTGTAGAGATCCTTCAATTCTATTTTTAGATTGATTTCCATGTATTTTATTTTCTTTTTTGAGGTTTTTATGAATGGGATAGTTTTCTAATTCTTTTTTCAGCAGATTCATTATTGGAGTATAGGAATACAATTGATTTATGAGTGTTGATCTTGTATCCTGCCACTTTGCTGCATTCATTTATCAGCTCTAGAAGTCTTCTATTGGAGTTTTTAGGGTCTTCTAAATATAGGATCAGGTCTGTCAGCAGAGAGCTCATTTGAGTTCTTCTTTTCCTATTTGTGTCCCTTTAATTTCCTTCTCCTGAAT